CTGACCTCTGCTGCTCTTCCTCTTCTGTCCTTCCTGGTGAAGCAATACCAACAGCTCAGCCACGCATTTGTAATATATTAATACTTGATTTTGCTGAGCTGCAGAGGTGTCTTTCGTAAATTATAATCTCCCAGGCAAAGCAACTGCTTTGAGTATTGCTCAGCACTATGGCTTTACCCTCTGGTTCATTCTTTGCTTCCAGGCATGAGAAATACAAGTAACCTGTGGTATGTCCATTCTTGCTAGAAATCTTGAAAGTTTGCAAAAGATCTTAATGGTTTTGATAGACTGAGCATTTTTGTGAGAGGTTGACAGCTTTCTAGAGATGGACAGTTAAAGGAAAGGAGGCCATAGCCAGTCCCTTGTCAGTGGCAGGATACTCCCAAAGTCTGCAAACAGAAAGGACTGCTGCCTGCCACTGTACACACCTGCTTGTCCCAGTTTGGTAGTAGGGGAACCGTAGATAACCGTTACTATCCAGATGAGTGTGCTCTGGGAAGGGAGGTGAGAGACAAGAGACCTCAGCAGACTTGGACTGACCCTTCTACATTCTTGGTCCCAGTTGGTCCTAACCTGCAGGACGTTGATCTGTGTGCTGCTTTGCCACTGCTGCTGTCCGCTCACCTCCTGCCTGCTGCCCTTCCTAGCTCTTGGGCCTCCCAGGTCTTGTCCATTTCGATTAAATCCATGCATCGTGTGCATTCTTACCTGTGTTCTGCATTACTTTATAGCAAAATCGTGTGGAAGAGGGAGAGAATGAAATGCTGCTGATGGGGTGGTAGATCCAAAGGGATATGGCTGCAGTGATTGTTAGGTGACCTTCAGCTCCAGATAGCTCAACATTCTTGAGGGAGAAACAAGCAGGTCCTCATAGTGGGTGTTTTTTGTTCTATTAAGTTTTCTTTTGTGGTATCTTGTATCCTGTTTTAAAAAAATAAGGGGGAACCAGGTTAGGGGCTCTGTCAGCATCCGAGGAGGTTCATCTATCTAACTCCAGTTATGTGATTATGGGGTTGAAAGGGTTTGAAGTTAGGCTGGAATAGTCCATCAAGTGGGTTTTACTTTTTTTTCTCTTTATCAGTGCTTGTCGTATGAAATGGGCAGCACATGGGGGTGGTGTGATTTAAACTTGCAACAAGTAGGCCTGTTGAAGAGTTGTGTGATCACTCTGCAGATGAAGGGTAGATATGAGTTGACTGGGAAAGGGCGTTGGTCTATTGTAGTAAAAATAACCTCATTAATTGAATTGGTCATGGGAGATTAGGTCCTGGTTTTATAAGCAAAGTAAGGGGAAGAGGCCAACTTTTAGACTAAGCCACACTGAAGCTACAATACTTTACAGATGGGAAAAAGTGTACACTACAGTTGAAGAGCTGAACTGCACTAAACTGGATGTTGGTCAGAAATATAGTAGCCCTTTGCTGGGAACCCTCCCACTCCAGCTTCCCTGGGGTGGGGAAGGTCTCCCACATTATGCAATAATAAAACAAGCATCTGAGTCTTGGCAGCTGCCAGTTGCTCTTTCAATTCTAGGATCCATCTTTGGACCAGAGACCTGGTCTGGGCCAAAGGTGACACTGGCCCTTGAGATGCTAGAGTCGACTGCACTCTCTCCTTCCTTGCAGACTATGCACAGTGCCTGGGGCGGAAGGAGGAGAGGAGGTGCAGTTTGCCCTACTAAGCCTCCCCAACAGGAACAGTAGTAATAAATGCACTTTTCACACTAAAGGTTTATTAGTTCTCCTGTTAAGCCTACATCCTCCCCCAGTAGATAGCAGACTCAAAAGTCTGTATGATCCCAAAGCCATTCCACTGCAAACGCCCAGCAGTAAAGATGGCCTCAAGTTGGGTTCCTGCCTGCAGAGTGTGTGGCAGCAGCCCATGTGCCTTTACCTGTTGTCAAACTCGCACATGTTTATTTCTGTCTTTATGACTTTCATGGAGACTGAGGTCCTTGAGAGAGCTAGAGCTGATGACACACTCACCCCCTGCACAGGGAGTTTGCACCAAGTTGTGAGCTGTAGTGGTTAGTGCAGTGCTGCTTTTGCTGTCGGCAGGGTTGATCCCTCACTTGCTTGATACGTGTATGTGTATTGCATTCAAGATTTTCCAGATTGTGTTGAGGAAGAGACTGACTGTCCTCATGGCAAACCTGAAGTATTAAAACAAGGCTGTCCCCTACAAACTTCCTCGCCACACACAGGATCCCTGTAGCCAAAACAGTATATGTTCCAGCTGCAGAGAGCAAATGGCTCTCAGCTTGCACAGCACCTTAGGGGAGGGGAGAATATATGGATAGGGACTGGGGTGGAGAAGGAAGGGTGGAAATGTCATCCAGGTGACTTTAGTGCCCTGAGGAGCAGAGGACAACGGCACTGGGGAGGTCTGGATGGATTAGATTTGTGTAGGAGTTCCCTGTAGATAAATTACTGACCCCCCAACTACTATCCCCAGTATGTAATGGCTGAATTAATATGTAATCAACTGCATTGTATCTAAAGCCTTAGAACTAGTCAGGTGCTCCCCCCACCCAATACCATTTCTTACCCTCTAATCCTACCTGATCTTTAACAAAGCATTAATAATTCTAAGGATAATCTCTATTTTGTTGTGCTTTTTTGTAACTGTTTTAAATAAATCAATTTGTACTGTATATTTGTACTTTTGTGAGATCCTTTTTGCTGTTTTACCATTTTAAGTCTCTGTACTTGGCTACACACAGATTGTATTTTTATTGTTAATGCTCTTCTTATGGATACCTGCATTTAACTTGTGGACTATGTAAACACAATATATATCAATATCTATATATCTATCTATATAAACTACTAGCTTTTCCTTTTGGTGTTTGCGCCTTCTTCCTATTTCGGCCTTCGATTGTGGCCATTGGGTGGGGGATAGAAACCCTTCCCAGGAGTACCTGTAATATAAATAAATATTCATGTGGTGAGAGGTGGAAAGCTGGCCCCAAGCTCAGGGTAGACTGTAAGGGCTAGCCTTGAAGCATGCTCTACATAGTCTCTGGGTGCATATTTCAGAGATCCCAAGTCTACCTGTAGGCTTGGATGTTAGCAAAGTCAATCACAAGGATTTGTAGGTATCCTTGCTGTTGGCCTTCCTCTCAGTTCTTGTCTTTGCTGGGAGAACTGCCAGAAATTGCACGCATACTTCAGCTCCAGTCATAGCAACCGCTCTGAGAATGCATGCCACTAGTATGTGGTGAAACATCAAGATATATGAGAGTTACTCTGATACATTTATTCAGCACTTAACTTTGTGTGTTAAAACTATCCTAAGTGCTGTATGTGTACTTACAGTGATTTTTTCTTAATAGCACCATTTTGTGGAGGAGGATAACAAGGCACAGGTTATGAAACAAACACAGCTACTTTTAAGTGGCTGGGCAGAGTGTTGAACCCATGCATCTGGTTCCTGAGCTTGTGTCAAGTCAGTACTTTTTCTTGTGAAAATGAAATGACAAATCTATGTAAAGTGCTCAGCACTCTCTTGTGGTTGTTATTAAGTGCCTTTGAGTTGTTTCCGACCCATAGCAACCTTTTATAGGGTTTCCAAGGAGTGGATGGTGAGCTTAAACCAGCGACCTTGTGGTTCAAGTAAACTTTGCAGTCCTATGCATTAGCCCACAGCGCCACACCAGGACTCAAGCAAAACCTCTAGCACATAATACTTAATTGATCCAAATATGTCTCTCTCACAGGGCTCCATATTGAAACCCTACTTATATAGATTTCAAAGTAGCCAAGTATTTACTATAAGCATAATCTCTAGCACATAGTAAATACTTGGCTATTTGAAATCTATATATGTAGGGTTTCAGTATGGAGCCCTGTGAGAGAGACACATTTGGATCAATTTAGTACTTGTTTCTTTTAAATATCTTGTTAAGTGCCTTCTGGTTGGTTCCAACTCATAGTGAACCTGTATTGGGTTTTTGAGGAGCAGCTGGTGGCTTTCAATCACTGGCCTTGCAGTTAGTAGTCCAGTACTTATCCTACAGTGCCACACCAACACTCATTTACATGTGTTGTTGAGTGCCATCAAGTTGGTTCTGACTCGTAGCGACCCTGTACAGGGTTTTCCAAAGAACGATTGGTAAATTTGAACTGCCTACTTTGTGGTTCAAACTGAACTTGCAGTCCAGTGCATTATCCCACAGTGCCACACCAGGACCTTAAATGTGTAGTACTTTGCAATTAGTTTATTAACAAATTTTTATTCCTCAGGACAGAAATACTACTGTATTTCAGGGTGCCTGGAATCAGCCCCTAGTTGAGTAGGAGTCAGTTAATACTATTAAATAGCCTTGAACCTATGAAGGTCGGAGAAAAGTTGAAGTTTCCTTGTTATGATATTGGAAGAGGTTCACATTCCTGGCATAGTTATTTTCCTGGCTACAGTTTAACTAGGGCACTTCCTTCTGGACCTCAAGAGCTATAATTATCTACACTGTATACGGTCTCCTTGGTGCAGGCTGAGGAAAGCTCTGTACTTGTTCTGTACCATCACAAACTTTTAGAAATGACTTCAGCTCTTGTCTCTTCCTTAGAACCATACAAATTGTCTTTTTGCTCCAGCCTTCACCACTTTTGACTTGAGTTCTCACATCACCTTAATTCCGGATTTCCCTCAGTAGGTTTTATTATCCTATCTTGGCTCTGGGGAATAAATGAAATGACGACTTATCTCTTCTCTCAAACATGAGTTCCTTGGTGCAGTGGACCTAGATACTGCAGCCTTCTCTATTCCTAGATGTAGCTGACTGCTCTCTGGGACAGGCATTTCTTCAGTGCCAAGAGTTATTCCTTATCAACCTGTGAAGGTCCAAAGAAGGCATTTGCTTGGACAGCCCAAGTAAAAAGCATCCTCTGAGAAAAGTACAAGCCCCCAAATCTCACTACCTAAAACTGTCCTCCTCCAAGGTCTCGCTAAGGTCACTTCATTTGTTAGAATGAAACAGAGAAAAGCAGGAGAAAGCCAAGAAAGATAAAGTTAATTTATTTGCCCTCACAACTCTGTGGGCCACACAGGGTCCCTACAGTCTTAAATCAGCATGCCCTGCAGTGGTGTGCTGGCGAGTCCGGTTCCATGGAGAGCCTGCTCCCTTTCCCAGTCACTTTGAGCAGTTCCCTCCTGATCTCATCTCATCATTGTGCTCCCACATGCAAGGGGGCATGGGTCCACCTGCAAGAAACACAGGCTGCCTCTGGCAGCGAGGAAAGGCCCCTGTGGGTGGTGCAACACTGATCCCGGTGGGCCTGAAAGGATGGGTAGTCACGCAGAAGGATTTGGTTCAGTGTAAGGAGCTGCTGTTTTGCTCTTCAAAGGCCATCTTGCCCAGGAGCTGGCTGTCCAACTCCACCCCACTCACCGGCAGCTGGAAAAAGTTCATTTCAGCTGCTAAGGCTGCCATGGCAGAAGGGTCCTGGCCAAACTGAGCTCGCAACATCATGTCCATTTTCTCTAGCCGCCTCTTAAGCCGCTTGGCCTCCCGCTCCCGGATGAGCCGGGCCTGCCGCTTCTCCGGGGTCTCGTTGGCCCGCTTCAGCCTCATGGCTTCCCGGTCCCGCTGCAGCCGGCGGGCCCGTTGTTCGTCAGTCTCCTGCAGGCGTTGCAGGCGTTTGGCTTCCCGGTCCCTCATTCGCCTCACTTCCCGCTCCTCAGGGGTCTCGTTGTCCCGCCGGCTCTTCTTGGCTGTCCGTTCTCGTTCCAGCCGCTGCAGCCGTACTTCCAAAGGCTCATTCTGTCGACGGAGGGCCCACTTGCGTACGCTGGGGGTCTGAGCTTCCAGGAGTTTACGGTAGGCAGCACAGTTGTTGCACACAAGCAGAATTCCAGCAGGGTACACTACAGGATTAAAGGCAATGTCCTTACCCTCGGTACTGGAGGGGCCCTCATTGTGGGCTGGGGGTAGGGATTCCATATTAAGTACTTCAGGAAGTTTTTCACTGGAAAGTAAAAAAATTGGGTGGTTAAGGTCGTCTTCTAGCAAAGCTCAGGCCCTGTCTCCTTTATTAGGGTCTGGTTTATGCTTTTACCTACCAGGCCAGTTGCTCCAAGTTTATCACTACGGGTTCTGTTTGAATCTTTGGGAGATTTCTTCTGCCTCCCACCCTTTCTATCCTTTAGGCTTGGGTACCTACCTAGTCTCAAAGCCCACCTGGAGTTACAGACTGAGCCGTCTGTCACAACAGCCCACCAGAAATCAGATGAAGCCTTACAATGAATATTTTCATTAGTGCCGGGATGACAGTGTTTGGTGAAGGCTGTGCAGGGGCAGTCCTACAGTGGAAACGAAGGGTCTTTGATGTGGAGACTTCCTTCAGGCAAGATATACTCAACTTTCTGCTCCTCTGGCACTGCCAACAATTCAAGGGGGCTTCAAGAAGTTCATTTGAAAATTCCGTATCTTTTCATTTTTTCACAAACTTTTTGAAAAGCCCTTGTATAAAGGCATATAGTATATTCTTAGTTCAAGAGAGTTAGCACACAAGGTTCACTTAGCCTTCCTAAGACATGATAGAGACAGCCCTCACATTAGGGGCCCACCAGCACCCTGTAACTTCTTTACAATTATTGCAAAGTGCCTTTCGAATACTGCACTTGGACTTCACATTTCTTTCTAGTTGTAAATATTATTCTGATACAGAAATCCATTTTCCTCTGGGGATATCTCATGGAACGGGTATGTTCACTAGCCTATTTACTTGTATTTCCAAAGGATCATGAGTCACTTGCTTCTGAATTCCCTGCCTCTAGTCTAGCCTCCGTGGTGACTTGGGAAAGCTGAACCCACACCCAGCACAATACAGTTAGATGCCCAGCTAACCTGTTAAAGGTGGCATGGCTGGTGAAACGAGCTCCGCACACAGCACAGTTAGACCTCTGGTCCTCGGAGTGGATTAGGAGGTGGCGGCCCAATGACCCTGGGGAACTAAGGGCTCGGCCACAGACAGGACACATGTAGCTCTTGGCGCTCACCACTGCGGCAGTGTGCTGTAGAACAGAGCCTTAGTTTTAATCTCCCAATCTCACGCCACCTTCAGGACAAACAATACGCACTTGAAACGATTTTCTGGAAGTAGCTCCCTTCCTTTAGTCTCAGAATAAGGGATTTGCAATGATTCTCTCTGTTGAGCACCTGTAATAGTTGAGAGTCTTGAGTTCCATTCAGACCACTGTTCAGATTCCACTGGCTTGGGTTCTGACTACCTCCTAGACATGTGGCTGGTTTGACGATCTGTAGGCTCCAGAACCAGAGCCCACCAGAAGAGAATTCATGCTCCGGGCAATTTCTCTCCATCTACATAACTCACAAGTACATGGTAAGAGGCGATGACAGCAACCTTGAGAAGCTAGCTGAGAATTCTAGGGTGCAACAGGTATTTAAGTATCCTACTTTTAATATTCCTCCCCAGAAACCAGTTGTTGTTGTTGTTATGTGCCCTGGAGTCGAGGAGTCAGTTCTGACTCATAGCAACCCTGCACAGGGTTTCCAAGGCTGTGAATCTTTACGGGAGCAGAGATTCTTTTTCCTGTGGAACAGCTGGTAGTTTCCAACTGCTGTCTGTGAGATTAGCAGCCCTATTTGTAACCACTATATTACCAGAGCTCCTCCAGGAACCAGTTTGTTGTAGTTGTTGTATGTGCCGTGGACTTGGTTCCGACTCATAGCGACCATGTACAGGGTTTCCGAGGCTGTAAATCTTTATGGGAGCAGAAAGCCTCATCTTTCTCCCATGGAACAGCTGGTAGTTTCGAACTGCTGACCATGAGGTTCACAACCAATTAATTACCTTATGGTAAAAGCCAGGCCACCACGTGGTGCTGATGCCTTTTCAATAATGATGAAAAATCACAGGTGCGACTGAGTTAAGAGTAAAAGGAACATAAAGTCTGTCTTATTTTGATCATTAATGCTAAATTTCACCAGTATTTCAGAAACATTTAACTAATTTCTTCTTTAAAACAAAGCTCTCATTATTAACAGATGTTAGTTTCTGTTTCGCTATTTTTTTAAAAAAAGGCATGAAATCATTTAGAAACACATTTTGATACTTAATTTCTATAGTGTGTCTTCTTGGGAAATCTAAACACATTTACCCAACACATTTCACTTATTCTCTAAACGGTTCTGAGTTCTAGAGTGGAGCTTAGGAAAGGACGCAACAACTGCAGGTTCCTTCAGGAGTGGGGGCCGAGGCCAAGGCCAAGGCTGGAGCTGGGCTACAAAGAAACCACTCCGTCCACCATACCTGGTACACGTGCGCTATCAGCTGCTCCCGACTCCCACAATCTAGCTGGCAGAGGGGACATTGGCAGAGTTCAAGCAGGGGGTCAGAATTCAAATTCTCTGTGACCTGCAATTCAAAAATCAGACAATTACGACTATTCACCAGATCCTCCCTGCCCCTACCTCTTTTAACAGGGTTCTTTGTAAGTAGAAACACAACCTGGTCTCTGATCTTATTCTTAGATTCCTAATGTGGGTTGAAGGGAAAATAGGGGAGTAGGGTTAGGTTTGCTCCCACCTTCATTCTCTGCAAGGCCTTCTGCCGTGAGGACCTAGGACAACCCTAGAGAGATCCTATCTATGTTTCCCCTCAAGCCCCCTACAGAGCTTCCCTTTCTTCATGCTCCTTACAGGAACCCTCAGGAGACAATTCAGTGGAATGTGGCACCTCAGCACACACTGACTTTACTTTACAAGCATATGTAGTAACACCTGTTGTAAAGTCAGCTGTTTTGCAAAGGTGGACAGGCAAGGAAGACACTATTCTGTCTGGAGAGGCGTGTCATGCTCTGTGGGTGGAAAGGCAGGCTGGGTGTGTTGAAAACTGTGCATCTGGGGTGTGGAGACCCCCAGAGGCTGGATTGTTGGAAGTGGATGAGAAGCATCAGGACAGAGCAGAAGGGTGGGTGTTCTGGACTAGGAGCCATGCGTTACTTGCCTCATGTTCTACCACTTCGTTCCCACTAACAGGCTGCTCTGCATTTTCTAACTCCTTCTCCACTTTGATCACCCCTCCATCTTCCTCTGATGTGTGCGAAGAGACTTCATCTTGTGTAGTCTCCTCTTCATCACCCTCACTGTCACCTGAAACACACAAACTGGTCACTTGTTCTGATTTTTGCATGAATAGATCCTGAGCTGCTATCCAGACTAACGTTTGCAGCTCTGGTGGAAAACATTTTTAGATCTTCCATAATGGCAAGGGCTTCAAAAGCATGTGGAGAAATGGAATGAAAAGAAAATGAAAAATTTCCACGAATTTTTGGAAGCCCCCTTGTATGTTTCTATCAGTGCTCCACTAGGTGTAAATCAAGTTACAGCTGTAGTGTATATTGCATTGTATACACTACAGAGCAAATGTGAGACAACATTGCTTTGAAATGTGGTTACTGGGTCCAGTACATTTTCAAAACAAGAATCCGTGTTCACACAGTTCCCAAAGACCTCACACTTCATATAATACCTCCCCACACAATTTACACCATGCTCATTCGCACACACACCACCTTTGATTTACCAACACTTTCTACTGACTTCATTACTTACTTTTCTCCATAACACTGTGTAAATTTCTCTATGGTGTCACATATATTATTCTACTCCAAGTCTCACTATCTCATCTCTCTCTACAAGCCCCATAGCACTTAGAGAAATACCAGCAACTTCTTAATCTTCTCAATAAAGGAAGCAGTAGTAAACCCATTTAAAATGGTATCATTTTATAGGGAAAAGGCTATTCTGTACAGTGGAAAACCTAGCACAGCAACCACGCCCAGGCAGTCTGTACAGGTATTTTGACTCAAGGTTCTAATTGTTAGGAATGCAGCAGTGTAGGCTAAATAAGTCCATTATTTTGTTGATTCTAAGGACTGTCTTATGCATTAAATGGAAGGTACAGTTTTTTAGGGTGAAACATAATGTCTTGTGAGTAAATTAAGAATTGAGTTAGTTTTAGTTTGGGGTACAGGATGTAGCTTTGGGGAGGTCTGATGGTCTGACCATGGCCATAAATCTACAAGGTCTGTAGAAATTGATCCTGTTCTCCATTACTTATAGAATAGTAAAAAAATAGTAAAAAAAGAGTGAGAGAGGCAATATAGGAAATTCTATCTGAAAGGAAAAATAAGTGCTTTAAAGACCACAACACAAGAGGAAACCAAGCCTAGGGCAGCTGTCAGACCCTGGCCCTTCCCCAACCCCACCATGATCCCTAACTCTGGGGCCTGACTATGAACTAGAGAAATAGCAGAGTTTCACCAGGCTCTGCATTAGCAGTGAGACTCAGATTTTCTAGCTACCAATGTTTACTGTCTCATTTCTACCATCCCCTGCATAATTTTAAAATCCAACTGGTAACTAGACAAAACTGGTTACATTCCTTCTTCATGAGAAAGTCTAACCAAATCATCTCCTAATAGCTCCATGTGTCTCTCCTAGATACTCCAGTTGGTTGGTGGACTGGATTTAGATTCTGGAAAGATCTATGGATGTATGCTTTATTTCCCAGCCCAAAGTTTCCTTTAGTTTGAATTCATCTCAATAATGATGGATTGGCATAGATTAAATTGTACCATGTTTCTTCACTAGCTTCTTACTTAAAATACTTCTAGCCTTAGTCTAAGACATTTTTTGTAATTTATAAAAAATCAAATACATCTATTGTTGTTGTTGTTAAGTGCCATCGAGTCGGTTCTGACCCATAGCGACCCTGGATAGGGTTTCCAAGGAGTGGCTGGTGAGCTTGAACTGCTAATCTTGCAGTTCAAATGGCTTTGCAGTCTGGCGCATTAACCCACAGCGCCACACCAGGACTCCTTAACTACATCTATTAGATAGACTGAAAAAAAAGATAGGTACACTGTCTAGAGGGATGAGCACCTTCCATACTGTAAGCCTTAAGTCTCTCACAAACGTTACCCATCTATTACTCATGAAACAGGTTTTTCAGAAATAAAGTTCATTTTTTAATACTTGAACAATTAGCCCTCTGTTGCTAAATGATTCGTATGGGTGGAAACAGTAGTTTCTAGAAGGTTCCAGAACTCTCTCCTCCTCTTTTCCCCACCCCCAAACATGGAGACAAAACCAGAATGTCACTCTGAAACTGACATTATCAATAATCAACATCCAATGGATGCGGTTAGTAAAATATCAAAACCATCTCAGGAAATAAATCTAAATATGTGTATGTTCAGACAGGTCATGGAACAGACAATTCAGGAGGCTCCACTTGCAACCAGTCACTGTCTTCTCCATATCTGAATCACATGCACCTACCTAGGACTTGGGTGTGGAGAGACCTCGACATTAGCATTGTTATGCTGCATAATCTCCTTAGTAGGGAATTCCCTTGTGTGACACTAAAACTGGACACTCAAGCAAAAACTTCATAACTACCACCCTTACATTTACTAATTATAAACAAACTGATTCTAGTAGACTGTAATTTTTTTCATTTGACTTAACCCTGGGGCTAGATCATTAATTATTCCTCTGCCCCTGCCTCTAACAACCATAACAAACCTATCTGCATATGGCACTGTGCAAAGTATTGTAATCCATGAATTACAAAGATATCAGGCCAAACCTGTCCTCTTGCTATATACACCTTAGAACACCTGCAGGTACGCTGAGAATCCACATATTTCCTTCTTTATGTCTTCCTCCCAACCCCCATGCACATTCCCCAGAGCACACACACTCTGATAATTCTTCTCCCATTGCCCTGAGTCATTACCAGAAGGTGCAGAACTCACTGCTACTGGAGTCCTGATCTCTTAGTTGTTGGATAGCTTGTTGCTGACTGCCAAGGTCTCCAGGAAAATCAGTTTTCATCATCGCCTGGCGGGCTTGCTCTTCCAGCCCCGCAAATACTTGATCCCCTGGTGGTCACAAGGAAAAATAGTCAGGCCACCAGGTAGGTAGCACATCCCCAGGCAAGCTGGTTGGAAGGTCAGACCATTCAAAGGGAGGAGACAGGCAGACACCCTATGATAGGGTCATTCGTCTCCAAGTCAGCTTGCTGCCTCCAACAGTTTCTGGGTGCAGCTACTCTTCCTGGGCCGGAGGCCAGAAGCTCCAGGAAGTTATCACTCCTCCTAGTCTTGACTCCCTTCCAAAGGTGATCATTTGCTACTTTACAAGTTTAACTGCAGAATCTCAATTTTCCTGACTACAAACAAGTACTTCAAGAATTCTTCTAAATAGCAATCTCTCTAATAATCGTTCATCCACTCTTGTTCCAAGATACGGTCTGGAAGTTCTTCCTCAACTCTCTAATGTCTATCAAAATCAGTCACAATCAAATTAACAATTGGCTGAAAATGGACTCCACAGGGAAGCTAGAATAAACAAACTCATTTATGTGGAGGTACAACCTTCCTGAAACAGATGGACTAATTAGCAATAAATATTTCCTCTATTTTCCTTGATCCAATATGGTTTTGTTTTGATATTTAATAGATGTCCCAAATCCCTGGACTCATCCTTGATATGCACTTCCTTCTGATACACTCTGCCTGGGAGTTAACATTTAAGGGCTCTTTTATTGCCAGAGGCCAGGCATAAGGAGAAAAGTGTTTGGTTTCTCAGGGTTTCCATTATCTCACAGTGGAAACTACAGCTCCCATTCCCCAGCCAGCAAAAGAGCATAATGAAAAGCTCTAGTGAAACATTTGACAACAGACCAGGCCCATTTTCACTGAGGAGAGAAGAGAAAGTAAACAGGCTCAGGTTCTGAGAGAGGATACAAAGATGCAGGAGGAAAGGACTGAGTAGTGAGCTAACATGCCCTACTAGTCCTTAGACAACTAAAGAACTGTTGTGGCATAGACTTCATCGAATTCACTTATTTATTCAGCAAATACTCATTGAGCATTTATTATATACTGAACATAAATAATAGTTACTAATAAGCACTTACTGGTTCTAGACTTTATGTTAAGTATATTCTATCTGTTAACTCACTAATTCTCTGTAAACCCCTATGAAGTATTATACCTATTTAACAAAGAGAAAACTAAGATCTGTCTATGGTGGAACCAGAGATTCAAGTCTAGGTCTTCCCAACTCTAATATCCATATTATTATTATTATTTGCTTCCAAAAATCAGCCAATTAAAACCCATGGATGACAACAGCCTGATCTGCAGTTTATCATAAGGAAAGCACAGGACCAGACAGCACTTCATTCCCCTGTACCTCCATGAGTTGGGGCCTAGGCGGCTAGAAGGCAGCTAACATAACAACAATCACAGTGTGGGTGCTGGATGTCTTCAAGTCATGGTTGGAAGATGATTTAGTTTAGTTGTTGCTGAGGGCTTTCAACTCTGTATGATCTTGAAATTCTACAATTGTGCATTCTTCACATTATTCTGAAGAATGTAGAATCCTAAAATAACAGAATATCAGAGGTGGAAAGAAATTTACGGAGTATTGGGCCCAATCTTTTCACTAGGAATATAAAGGGACTAGGACCAAGAATGGGAACACACTAATTTTGGATTGCTATGCTAATTACCACAAAGTCAGATCTAGAAACCAAAGTTTTTGATCCCCAAGCCAGTGTTCTTTTAAAAAACCCACACAGTCTCTAAATATATAATGTCTACATTTTAAAATGCTTTCTAATAGTTAGTTATAAGCAAGTCAGAAGGTTTATCAGAATGGTTTTGCTAAAAATGAATGTCACAGAGTGAGAAGAATGGCTCTTATCCTCATGTGTTTGTTACCTTTATGCCATGAAAAATGGATGCACACAATTCACATACCACGATAATGTTCTCAGGGTAAGTATTTGATCATCGGAGAAAAGTATGGTTCTAATACTGTGTGAAAAATGACCATACCTGGGTTACCGTTGCTAATATTAAGGCTCCCATGATTCATATTGAGTGGGAGTGGAGAATAATCAGTGCTAAGTGTGCTCCTATCTACACAGACCTTGGGTAAAAAGAAGCTGCTTTGAAGTCTATCTTCACAATATGAGATGACTGGACAGAAATGACTCTTTGTTGTTGTTGTTAAGTACCGTTGAGTCAGTTCCAACCCACAGAGACCCTGTATAGGGTTTCCAAGGTGCAGTTGGTGAGCTTGAACCACTGACCTGGCGGTCCAAACTGACTTTGCAGTCTAGTGCATTAACCCATAGTACCACACCAGGACACCAAGATTCCTAGAGAAAGCAAACACCTGAATGCTGTGTTACAGTGCTTCCTCTTCCTTCTTTGCAGAAGTGAAACAATTTATCCATGTTGGTTTTACTACAACAACAAAACAGTGGGCATCTGGCAGACACATCTACCTTCTGGGTGGATGCATATTTTCAGATCTGGTGGCATGGACAGATATGGCATTAAGGAACAAGTTATATACTAGCTTACAAGGGGGCTTTAAAAAAATGTGTTAAAAAATTCTACTATATTTTCATTCAATTTTTCCACAAACTTTTTGAAGCCACTTCAAATAATTATCAACCTGAAGACCATTCTCATCAATGACATTTCTGGTCTCTAAAGAAATTGTTGTTGTTGTTAGGTACCATCTAGTCAGTACCGACCCATAGCGACCTTATGCACAGCAGAATGAAACACTGCCCGATCCTGGGCCAACCTCACTACTGTTGCCACGCTTGAGTCCATCGATGCTGCCACTTGGCCAATCCATCTCGTTGGGGTCTTCCTCTTTTTCTCTGACCCTCCACCTTACCAAACATGATACCCTTCTCCAGCCAGGGATATACAGATTGCTGAATGCTAGAATTATGATATACTAAATACATATAATTTATTAATCTTCCATTCTGAAAAGGGAATTGCCATTGGATTAGCAGAATGGCATTTAAGAAAATATGGGTTCTTTCAAGATAAGCCAGTAATTCAGTTTTGTTCTCATTAACTGAAATTCAAATTTTATTTTGTTTATTGATGTGGTCTCTACTAGTCGTCTGTCCATTTGTCATACTGCAGTGGCTTGTGTATTGCTGTGATGCTGCAATGCCACTGGTATTTGAAATACTGGCAGGGTCACCCATGGTGGACAGTTTTCCGCTGAGCTTCCAGACTAAGAAACACTATGAAGAAAGAGAGGTGGACTACTTCTGAAATGTTTCGCCACAGAAAATCTTATGAAGAGCAGCAGAACACTGTCAGATACAGTGTTAGAAGATGAGCCCCCTCAGGCTGGACGACTCTCAAAATATGACTGGGGAAGAGATGCCTTCTCAGAGTAGAAGTGACCATAATGACATGAATAGAGTAAAATTTTGAAGGCCTTCATTTGCTGATGGGGCACATCTCAAAAAGAGAAACAGCTGCAAACATCCATTAACAATTGGAACATGGAATGTACAAAATATGAATCTAGGAACATTAGAAGTTGTCAAAAAAGAAAATAAAACACATAAGAATCGATATCCTAGATACTGTTGTTGGTATTAAGTGCTGTTGAGTTGGTTCCGATTCATAGCAACACTGTATAGGATTTCTGAGGAGCAGCTGGTGAGCTTGAACTGCCAACATGGTTTAAACCAACCTTGCAGTCCAGCACATTAACCCAAAATGGCACACCTGGACTCCATCCTGGACATTAGTGAGCTGAAATGGACTAGTACTAGCCATTTTGTTTCTGACAGTCATATCGTTTACTAAGCCAGGAATGACAAATTGAAGAGCTATGGTGTCATATTCATTGTCAAAAAGAACATTTCAAGATTTATCTTGAAGTACAATGCTGTCTGTGATAGGGTAATATCCATACACCTATAAGGACGCCCTGTTAATACCACTCTGATTCAAACTTATGTACCAACCATTAAAGCTATAATGATGATGAACTTGAAGAATTCTTAGCATAGTGGTTATGAATTGGGCTGCTAACCTCAAGGTCAGCAGTTCGAAACTACGAGCTGTTCCACGAGAGAAAGATGAGGCTTTCTGCTCCCGTAAAGATTTATAGCCTCGGAAACCCTGTATGGGGGTCATTATGAGTCAGAACCAACTCCACAGCACACAACAACAACAACAACAACCAACTTTTTCAGTTTGAAATTGATCAAATGTGCAATTAAGATGCACTGATAATTACTAGTGATTGGAATGCTAAGGCTGAAAACAAAGAGGAAGGATCAGTAGTTGGAAAATAGGGCCTTGGTTATAAGAAATGATGTTGGTGTTCACATAATAGAATTTTACAAGACCAATGACTTCTTCATCGCAAATACCTTTAAAAGCATCATAAAAGACGATTATACAGATGGGCCTCACCAGATGGAAATCAAATTGACTACACCTGTGGAAGAATATGGTGGAAAAGCTTAGTGTCTCCAGCCAAAACAAGGTTAAGAGCTGACTGTGAAACAGACCATCAACTGGTCATATGCAAGTTTAGGTTAAAGTTGAAAAAAGTTAAAGCAAGTCCATGAAGACCAAAATATGACCTTAAACATATCCCACCTGAATTGAGAGATGACCTCAAGTACAGATTTGATGCATTAGACACTGATGACTGAAGACCAGAAGAGTTGTGGGATGATATCAAGAACATCATGAAAAAAAAAAAGAACATTAGACAAGAAGAAAGCAAAAGAACATTAAAATGACAAGAAATAAAGACCAAAATGGATGTCAGAAGACTCTGAAACTTGCTCTTGAGTATAAAGAAGCTAAAGTGAATGAAAGAAATGAAGTACAAGAGCTTAACAGAAAATTTCAAAGGGCATCTCTAGAAGACAAAGTCCAGTATTATAATGAAATGTGCAAAGACCAGGAGTTAGAAAATTAAAAGAGAAGACGCATGCTCAGCATCTCTCAAGCACAAAGAACTGAAAAAAGAACTCAAGGCTTGATTTGAAATATAGAAGGATTTTATGGGCAAAATATTGACT